ACTGATACGGCTCAAGATGCCAATCTCTCTTCTTAAGTCACCGAACTGCGAGGCGGTGCATTTGACCATCTTGACTGCGACTGGCTTGCCGTTAGACTTGTCAAAGCCCAAAGATACAGAACTCGTGGCGCCATGGTGATCAGCATCATAGATGCTGTAGCCGTGGTAGTCGATAGTTGGCTTGGATGGTGTTGGCGAAAGCAGCATCACGGAATTCGGAGGCATAGCGTTGACCTGTGCTAGGGCTTCTTCGAGTTCTCGTTGTTTCTGCTCCTGGCTCAAGTCGGTGTACACGAGTACGTAAGTGAGATCACCCAGCCGGACGCTGGTGCCATGTTGAAGGGTAGCTTGGAAATCTCGTTCGTGCTGCTGCTTTATGTCGTCGCGTTGAAAGGTTCTGCTGTCCACAGTGATCTGCAACCATCATGAGCAAAACGCGCCCCTGAAGAGACACAGTGCAATACCTTTCTGCCGTCAGACACGGCAACCATGACGCCAGTTTCAAGCTGACGTCTCAATCTGCAACGACGCGAATGAAGAGAATTTTCAGTGGTGAATGGAGCAAGAAGAAAGTCTACAAAGTGATCTGGCTTGTTCAGTCTTGAGCTTCCCACAACCCAGCCTAAGCCTTGACTCGCAGGAGGAATGGACATGTTGAGGCGGTAGTAACCGCAAAATTCTTGGAGGGCTTCGCGCTGAGGTGACGGGGTAGAAGCAGCAAAACTGCTTTCAGCAGTACTTTCGCTGGACAGCGTGACTTCGTAGTGAATGTACTGGCGCACATGATGCAGCTTGCTGCTATCGGACTCCAGAAGGCGGACGACTTGGCCAAAGAGTCTGCGTGCCGCTGGAGAATGCGGCACCAATCGCGCGAAATCACCATTGGACACTCCGCGATGCACGTTCTCCCATGAAGTTACGTCTGGCAGAGTATCCCCTGGCGAAGACATTGGTGTGATGAGAGGAGAGGAGAGGTCAGGGGCGGCCTCGGAATGTATGGAGTTGGGTAATGCGGGCGGGGGTTACCCGATACGGTTAGACCGGCCAGTGAACCTTGGAAATAGCCGCCAGCCCTGGAGTGTTGGGACGACTTCGACACGCCCCTTCAACACCCTGCCACCGACCGCTTGTGCATGACGTCGCTACAGCACGACCTGGCATCGCCGCCCCGCTCGCCGGCGATACCCGATGCGGTGCTTAGAATCTACGAGGAACAGTACATCACGAAACCCCTGCTGGCGGCACTGAAGAAGCTGCGAGACCAGCTGCAGGCGGCCGGCACCACCGAGGCACCACCCAAACGGGCGCCGTATGCCAAAACCCCCGAACTCGCCTGGGGCCGACTATCACCCCAACTTACACCTACTCCATCGCCCTCACCACCGCCCAAACGCTGCTATCGCAGTCCGCCATCCTTTCCGACTCCGCCCGATACGTCACCCCAGCGCGGGGACTCGACCTCCGCATCGCCTATTAAGCCCACCGCTGCTGCTCGCAAATCCCGCCGCAGACAATCGTCATCATCCATACAGCCATCTTTCACGATGCTCCGCCGCTCACGAGCCAGAGAAAGTCGAGCTACGGAGAGGCAGTTTTGGGAACTGGATGCGTCGGGGCGGAGAGCCAAGCGCGTCGTAGGTGGATGAGCATCACAGTGATGACGGTACTACAAGACACAATAGCACGCATGAGCAGGATCAACGGACAGCATACATGAGGAGGTTGGGTAATCTTCGATGCAGACCATGTTACCCGGGCGGAAATCTTTACTGAACTCATACCGACGGTTCGCTTCGTTGCACGCAGTCCACGGCTTTTGCTACATCGTTGACTGCTTCATCCTGCTGTCACAAGACTTGGAGGCTCTGAAGTAGACATGATAGTCTGGGCTTGAGGTGGAACGTGTAAGGGATTTGAATATACCTCCAGAATCACTACCGCGATCACGTCAGTGTCTGAAGGTGGATGCGGTATTACCTTCGACAGCAATGAAGCGTTGAGTTCACTCCCGAGCGAGACAAAGTACACACGACGCGATGCATTGGAGCGTGGGTTGAGTCGGTGATTATTTGAATAGGGATGAGCGAAGATGTTTGCTCGGCAGGCGTGAGGATGAAGATGATGACAAAGTTGGGTCAGGTCGTGACTAGGTTTCTGGGATTAGTTACTTGCGTTTGAGCAGCCGCGCAGGACTTTCTGAGATGGCAGGGTTACGTCTTGGGAAGGATCTTGAGAGTCATCATCGCGCGTACTCGCGCGTTTTGGCGCGTGCGCAATGCAGAACTATCTCACGACAGACCTGTCATTTTTCTTATCTACTCAACTCAATCTCTGCCCAGGTAAAACGGTGAGGTTGCGGGTTGGGCTGGTATCGATGATCCTGCCCACCGCGAACGGAGCCGGCGCACTAGCCGCATTCGGTAACGGGCCTTTGCCGCCGCTGGTGTATTTACTACCCACACCAACCCCAGACTGCGGCACCGACTACCAACGTCGCAATCGCATCGAATATCGGCCGCACGCTATACCAATTTCTAAGCGCAAACAGACACTTCACGTCTACATACAGCCCATACTCAGCGATCGCAAGCTTGCGAGCCCAACACATCCGTCCCGCGGGTCTCACCCGGACAGAATCTTGTGACAGCCTCACCGCCGCTCTCCCACCGCTCGCAGCGTTTGTCGAGCATATCTTCTCTCCATGCCCGTCACCAACCCCGCCAAACTCGCACTCATGGCGACTAACCCTTCTACCTCTCCTCTTCTCCCGCTGCCCAAGTCGCGCAAGCGATCCAGGTCGACTGACGAAAGCGACTGCCGCAAGCCTGTGTCTAAGATCGCCGTTGTCGAGGATCTCATTCGCGGTCAATATACCGGTCGTTTCGAAGATCCTACTCTCCGCGACTTGGAAAGGTACCGAGCCGTTGTGACTCCCTCTGAGTTCGTTGATCTCATCAAATCCTTCGACGACGAGCTGTGCCGGTGGCTAGTGAACCATTTGACATACGATTGGAACGCCCTCACCGGAGAGATCATTCTGCGCAGGATGTCGCCTAGCAACCTTCACGACGTTGTCGCCGCAGAGATAGGCCTAGCCTTTCGCGACCAGATCGTCGCCCTGAAACGGATGAGGAACGTGTCCGCTGAGATCAAAGCTCTCGTGGCGAACATCAAGGGTCCATATGCAAATCTTGCATCGCCTGCGATCGTTCATGCTACAGAAAAGTCCGGTGACCCCAATGTCGACATCCTACTGACGAGCAATCGACAGCCCGACAATTCTTTCTACTTTCGCCATCGTTCCAACATGCCCATCGTCATCGAAGTCGGCAATTCTCAAGTTGGCGAGGAGCTCACAGAGTTGGCGGAATCTTGGATGAAAGACAGCAGCCGCAAGACAAAGACGGTCATCACCGTTGATCTGCAATACCAAAACCCAGCCACGAGAGCCGACAATCCCCGTACACCGAAGGCGGCTATATCCATCTACCGCGTCACCAAAGACTCGTACGACAAGAAGACATTCACTTTCTTCGACTCAGCAAAAGGCAAGCAAATCACGCGAACCCTTCGCCTTACTTTGGCCGACTTCCTTCCTATAGAGGAGATCAAGAAGTTTCCGAAGGACTTCAAGTTCCCTGCCATCGAGATTACTGCCGAGGAACTCCGCGATATCCTGGAACAAGGTGATGAGCGGCAGCAAGATGTGGACAGGGCGTCTCTCAGTCCCGGTAAACCTCTTCAACCGTCAAAGAAGCAGAAGCGTCAGCCGACCTCGTCCTCGACGCCGCCTGTAGTTTCCCAACCTGTGCCCGCACCAGTGGGAAGGTCGGGAAGGCCTCTGGTGAAGACTAAGAGGTATCTGGGTGAGTGAATGGTTAGGGAAATAGATCTCGGACTTGGGAGATGGTGCAAGGATAAACCTGGTGAGGAAGGCGTTGGACTGGATGATACCCTATATGATCTTGATGTTTTAGTATGAATGAAAGGAGCACTTGAAGAATACCACAATGTTTACAGCACCTATCCCACATTCGACAAGGCAGTAAATACCCTCAGGCCTTCATACTAACTTTTCCGTGACTATCGCAGCATCATCAAATACCTCCAGGGTTATCTGTGAGATTTTCCAAGACGCTGGAAGCCTTGGTGAGAACCTCCAGCGCTACCTGTCCATTCTTCCGCAACGCGCGTGGCATGAGAGGATGCCTCCAGGCATACTCTTCAGCCCGCCCCAGGTTTACCCGACACGCGGAACTTGACGTGTCTATGTCACTCCTGAGCGCTAGTTCGTAGATGCTCCATTTGGCCAAAGCCGTGATGAGATTCTTCCAAGGAGCAGGAGAATCAACGCGCACGCGAGGTGATGGAAGGGCCTCGGCTCAGCCGAGCAGCCGCCGCATTTGAGCTAGCGCGGAGCAACTCCAGCTCCTACCTCAGCGCGTCACTTCGCCGGCCCACGTCTTGACATCCATCCCGTTTTCGCTTTGTGCCGTCGCGCACGACCGCAAGATCAAGACAAGCGTCTCTCCGTCGGAGCGCTGTACTGCCAGAACATCTCCTCAAATACTGCACCGATGCGACACGCTCAATCTCGAGCTCTGATCTTACGGCAGGGTCTCTTCTACCAGCCTCCACGACCTTCATTCGCGTTGCGCGCTTTTAAGGCCATGTCTCGACAAACTATATCATGGGTGGGCTCAACGTGGCAGATGCATATGATATCGCCGCCATTGTCACAATACCCTGTTTCACGAAGACCAGTGGCCTCCGCATCCGCGCATCCCTGGCATACATCCGGCCTTGGCTACACCATGGACGCATGCAGATACAAAGAACGCGACAGCACTTGGACCACGAACCATGTCTACTTTATGCCCAGGGTTATCCCATGCACTTGATCTTTTGCTTGCACGGCATAACGGATACAGACACCCAGGTCGTTCTTTCTCGTGCCACCCATATCTTGCTATCAAACACGCCAAACGCTTATCTCTAAAATGACGGGAAGCAGGAGGCCTGCCCGAGGAGCCCGAGGAGCTCGCGTAGAACCACGGAATCATCACGGTATTCCACCCGCTCCCAGACCAAAGAGACGCTACAAGCCCGGCACCGTCGCCCTGCGCGAGATCAAACGATACCAGAAATCTACCGACCTTCTGCTGCTGAAGTTGCCCTTCCAGCGGGTAGTCCGCGAGGTTGCCCTAAGCGTCTCGCGTATCGATGGCCCATTGCGCTGGCAGAGTCAAGCTATCGTGGCATTGCAAGAAGCGAGCGAAGCCTTCCTAGTAGGCCTGTTCCACGATGCCAACCTTTGCGCTATTCACGCCAAGCGCGTCACGATTCAGCAGAAGGACATTCAGCTTGCGAGGCGGTTGAGGGCGGCCTGGGGCGCGCCTGTATGAGAGTTGGCATAGGCGGCCGTGGCCATACGATCTGCGAAGAGCGTCGCAGTAAATTCGGGATGACCGACCGAGTGGTGGGGAGTGGTACGTGTGCTGTAGTTGTCGGGAGTATCTTGATTATAGGGTGAGGCGAGGAAATGGGCGGTGCGACTGATGTTTATCGCCCCGCACCCCAGACTGGTTTGACTATGCATTCAACATTCCTCATTCGAGCGCTAGAGACTCTTGCTGTAATGTCTGCCCAGCTACAGGCTCCTTAGCAGCCAAAATCACTTCCTCTTTGCGTTGTTCTTCTTGTTTCGTACTTTAGTCCGCTTTCAGTTAGCGTGTATTTCTCATTGGTCGCCATCGGCCGCGACGCGACCTCATCTCACAACACGAACAACATGCGTTATCATGCCGAACACACCCAGCAACGCCCGCCGTGTGTTTGAGCTTCGCCTTGCCCAGAGTGCGCTGAGCCCGCACGACCGAACCGCCGCGCCCACGCCGCTGGCTGATCTGCGGACCCTCGACGACCTTGTATGGACCAAAGAGGCTGTCTGCGTTGCCGCGCTCGTGCTGGGATTCCAGGACTACTACTGCGAGGACCTTGAGGCTTTCGAGAAGCGCGTTCAAACTTCACTCGGAGAGTCAGGTGGCTGCAAGAGCTTCCAAGACGTCTGGCACAATATCAAGGGTGTCACCGAACACTGGGGGGCAGACTGGTGGACCGTCCTCCAGCGACACCAAATCCGGATCCAGCAAGTACCGTCGTTCAACCTCGCCGTTTACCTGAACAAGTACTCGAAAGCTGCGCAACCGCTCTCGGACGTTGTCGCCGAGCTCCAGGCATTCGACAAGGTCAGGCGTCAAGATATCATCAGTGTCCAGCGAAGATACGATCCTAGGAATCCGACCCACTTCGGCCAAACCGTACGTATTTGAGCCGCACTTGGACCTGCTACATAAACTGACGGCGCGTTCTCACCTTCACAGGCTCAGCGTCTGGACTGCAAGTCGTGGCGATATTTCCAGGACCTCATCGCGTGGAGGGACAAGCGATTGAACGCCACCCTGGCCGCGGACGTGTCTTCTGAGCGGGCGCGCCGCCTTGAGAAACGCCAGAATCGCCCATCCAACTCACCTGACAAGAAGAAGAATCGCAAACGGCGTGCGGTGACACCAAGGACACCAGCTAATCCTCGGGATCACTCGCGTTCGCAATCAGTCGAGCGACCTAGACGGGGCCCATCGGAATTACCAGACGACGACACTAGCCTCTTCGAAGGCCGTCGGGACTCACTGTCATTCCAGGACAGCACACTCCAAGAAGAAGACCTTCAGGACACACTCAACGATCAGGAGAGTCCCTTCCGGCGTAACAGCATCACTGACCTGGACACTCCTCGTGTCACAGAGGACGGCCCATCATTTGGGGACGACGATAACATCCAGCCATTCACCCCGGTTCATAGTATAGACCTCATGTCACTCAAAATGCTCGCACAGGATCCGGACTTCCGCGCGGTTATGCACATCATTGTCAGGAAGAAGAAAGAAATCCGGTCAGCCAAGGAAGACAACCTCCAAGCTACAGTCCATCTTGCTCAGGCGCAAGAGACCGCTCGTAGTCATGCTTTGGAAGCGCAGAAAGCACTGCAGCTGAGTACACTGCCAAGCGAAGATAGCCTGGAACAAATCAAAACGGAATTCTCCGCTAAGCTCAAGGCTACCCAGGACTACAATGAGCATCTCGCAGGAGACATCACGGCGATCACCAACTTCGCCAGCTTAGGAGTAGCCTCGGCGACCCAGGACGTGACCAAACTAGAAGCCATGAAAGATGCGTGCGAAGCGGAAATCAGGCAGATGGAGCATCGTGTCACACAATATGGAGCGTGGGCTGAGAAGATGGGCGCCGCAACGAGGGAGGTAGAGGAGGCGAAGGAATGTTCTCGAAAGGCAAATCAAGTCCTCTTGACAGTGGATGATATGATGCGAATAGCGGAGCTGTGGCTGGGCAAACCAAGCGCTAAACTCTCCATTGAAGTACTGGAAGATCTTCTCAAGGAACCGCTGGAAGGAGAGTAGATCATGACTTCGTGTTAGACGTCAAGCCTGTTGTTTCGATTTCGTCATGTTTATACCCCTTGCTCAGCAATCTAGACCATAATTCCCACTCGTTCACAGTAGGCAGCCTCTAGGTGCTCCCTGCGATTGACATCGATATCAATAACCAATTTTCCCCTTCGCCAGATGCCGTAAACGCCTTCAAAAGGGAAATTTCTGTCAAGCACAACGGAACGATAAAATTGGTGTTCAACACCATTGCGATAACGGGCATAAGAGACACCCGGAGGTCTTCCTCGTCCCTTTAACATGTATTTAATTCACCCTAAACAGGCCTAAGAGGTAGCGTGCTACCGCTATAAACCCTCGGCGGTGCCCGCTAGAATGCCCCCTGGAAGGTTACATATAGGCGTTAGACCAATATCATCATCAACACTATTGCGATGGGTCGTCGCGATCTCCAGGCGCGACACTTGGCTGTAAGATCATGATCAGGAAATAGATTTCGCGTATTACAACAATGTGATAGCGCGTCACCTATCGAAACGTCCCTACAATACCGCATGCTATATAGTGTCCATATCTAGTGCGGAGTTGGGTCTCTATTGTTACAGGCGTACGCTGGTGTATATATCAACAAGCGTAGGACGTAGTGAGCAGTTCCGCCTTGTTTGATGTTGTAAAGACAGGGGCTACGCAGTGGAGAGGACCGTCGAGGTCATTGATGTGCGCTTCCGCATTGACTACACGTATCATTCCTTCCCGCATGCATACACGGAGGCAATCTGAGGTACTTTGATGGGTCAGAACAGCTCTTATTGATATCATGATCGAAATCGTAAAGACTCAACGTCTCGTAAATCTTGAGAGTTTTGTAGCGATGACTGAGTGTTCTACACGCTCTTTACACTGTCGTTGACCGCATAGTGTCCTGTGTATGACGTGGTATGGCTTGTGATACAAGAGACAGATATCCCCAGCGCTGAACATTATTCCACTATTCTTTGCCATTCGATGCGCATGAGATACTATCCTATCAGATTCAGGTGTAGATACTGTATGTACCTTAAAGCTGTCGTTTGACAAAACTTGTTCTGTTGTCTTAGTGAAGTAGGTACTGTTTCCACGCGACATGAAGTGAAGTACTAGACCATGTTATGCTCTCAAAGTACACATTGCTTCTTTGGCATCTCTGGGATGAGTGTGCCACGTATCCATACATTATACTGCATGAGTTTAAAAAGAAGGGAGTGCTCCTTTGCCCAAGAATGCGGTCTGGTCCTGCTTCGGGCCGGATCATAGAGATTTTAGTTGGTTACTTTGGTATAAGGTACAATTGCGATAGTTTTGGGGGCTGCATGAATGCGAGTGGGTCGAATAGCAAATGCGGAGACTGAACGAAGAAACTGGGCCCCAATCAACAGCGACGAAACGAGGATATACGTCCTTGATCTCTTCGTGAACGCCAGTGTATTCATTGCCAGTGAGCACGACCTGCAGAGGTGGGGAGGCTACATTGTCTCAAGAGTTGGTGAAACCTTTAGTCTCGTCCTAATGTAGACCGCACAGTACGATTTTATCCTTATTTTCGCATAAGGTGGGTGCGACGCTCAGTGAATATGGGGTGGGGTCGTTTACGCCAGGCACGCACACGCTAGCCGCTCAAGTACAAAACGCCACCCATGAACATTGCTGCCTTTCACGACTTATGCACTATTCCGGCTAGTACGCATCGCACCACCGACTATATACCGCAAATTCGCACTTCCTCCGCGCGACACCCCACCATGCACTCTACTATGCCCATCTCCAGCGACAGCGAGCGCTCGTCTCTCCGTCCTTCTTTTGCTACATCTCCTCCTTCTCCCTGCCCTCGGGCGGACTCTGTTCGACCCCCTAAGGCGTATCTCTCGCCCGATTCGTCCCCTCCCGTGCGCAAGACGGAGTTCGCCAAGATCTACGACCTTCTCCTGCGTCTCAGCGAGGGCGAGAGCGTCGAAGAAGACATCCAGAACAAGTTCACCGTCTCCTCATCCGATTGGCTCGAACTGAAGGATGAAATCTTCGTGAAAGGCGACAGGGTCAGCAGCGAGACCAGAGCTTGGGCGAATATTAAGCTGCGCTACAACTACGACGCTGAGGCGGGAACATTCGAAGTCAAGATGGCCGACGCAATTCACGAAAGTTGCAAGACCGCCCTCGTCAAACTCCTGGAAGCAAGAATGGCCCCATACACAACAGGAATCATCAGGCAAGGTCTTCCACCAAATTTGAGTCTCGAAACACTCAAGGACTGGGCTCATACAATGACCCCTCTTGCCAGTGGCTCATTCCGCGCCCCAGATATCGCCTTCTCCTTGGGACAGTGGCCACCAATCTTCATTGCCGAGATTGCGAATGGCGAGCATGGCAAACGCAATTTCAAAGGCAAAGCCAAAGACTACATGAGTGGCACCAGAGGTGTTACCAAAACCCTGCTCGGCATCGACTTCGAATATCCCGTGCGGCGAAATGGAGTCAACGAACTCCCGCGATGGGCTACCTACCAATTCTTCCGCTGCAAGATCATGGGCGATGACTTCAAAATCATCTCCACTGGCAAGAAGCCCGTGAGATTCAAGAACGCCAACGGAGTGATCAACTCGCATTTCAAGGTGCGGTTGACTCTGGCCGACTTTGTGACATCCAATGATCCCGTTCTCTTGAACTTTCCGGTACACATCACTCATCAAGATCTCTACAACGTGGTAGCGTCAGCAGAGCGGGCACAGCAGACCAAGAACGTATACATACTTCCAGTACCTCTCAAATACGTTGGTTCTGAGTCGCCATCTCCAGAGCCAGAGGAGCCCAGCTCGAGTCCGGAACAGGATACCGATGATACTGGCACTTTTTCCGGTAGGAAAAGCAGAGTTAGTAGCGATGAAGCAACGTCGGTTGGCTCGCGGGTCACTCGTCGCAGTGATAAGAGGGGGGGTTCGTCGGCCGGGGGAGAGACCAGCGAAGAGACCAGCGAGGAAGACGAGAACGAGGAGAATGATGCTGAGGACGAGGAGGATAGTGTTGAAGGCCAGGAGGATGATGTTGAAGACGAGGAGGACGACGAGGAGGAGGCTCGTCCGCACAAGAGGCGAAGATGATACCCCGCGGTTGGCTCGCCATGAAAGCGGCCTTCGCATATTCTTCTATAGACTTGATACCCCGGGCGCAGCCCTCTGATGAACGATAGATAATGAACGAAATGACCACGATAGTACCATGTCATCTCATCCCGATGCATGAGCCCATGAGCATACGTACAAGGTTTCTATCGTCCTGAACACCCCCCGACGCAGTTGTATTTGGCAAAACCTCTTTTGTGTGAAGACGTGTGATAGAGCTGCAGAGAAAATTGACGGGTGTCAGACGGATAGTTCAAGAGAAGACACCACATGAAACAGGTGATGTATTTGGAAAACAGTGCTATAGTAAGCTACGATGGGGTGACTTGCGTCAAAGCATCTATTCCATTACCCCGTCACGTATTCCACCTTATCCCCCTCATCAATGTCCACGAGCGCATGTTTGGTCTGCGTCAGTACATAGCTAGACTTCATCCTCGACATCCTCGTCATTAACGATGACATCGCCAGTCCTGGGATCTCTGATGACTGACTCTCCGACCACCCTGTACGGGACGCCAGCGGGCACAGGCCTGCGCTTGACTTTGTCCTCACCCATCAAGGCAAGCTCATCCTCGCTGTCATACGATCCATGGTGAAGAATGCTAGAACCGGCGCCTCCACGACCCTTCTTCCGAGAGCTACCGTCCTTCTTAGCCTGTGGCTTGCGCACAGCGGCCTTGATCCTCTTGCTCGGGTCACGGACGATATCCTCATCTTCGTCTTCCTCATCCAGATCCATATCATCCGCCTCCCTCTTGACCACCACTGCACCTCGCTTCTTGGGGGTAGCAGTAGCGACCTTCTTGGCCGCCGCGCCTGCGCCTACTTCATAGCCCAAGCCCTCCTGCATCTTGCGCGCCTCAGCCCGAAGAGCGGTGATGCGGTTCCTGATACTACCGACGCTGGAGCCGGGGAAGACCTTGGATAGCTGCGGGTATTCGGCGGGGGTGACGGTGCGGCCGAAGATGAGGATGAAGAGCTTGCGGTCGTTGGCGGCGTCCCAGGTCATCTTGGTTGGACTGGAGGACGGAGAGGCGGCGAAGCTCAGGGGCGAAGAAGGGGCGGGTAGGAGAGGTTTCGCGGTTTTGGGGGCACGCTTTGGGGTGGTGTTGGCTGACATGGCGAACGAGGAGGGAGAAGATCGAGAGGACGGTTACTTCTATCTGTTGATGCGATCGGTTTGCCTGTAATACTGTGAGTGGGTGTGTCGGAAGTCGGGGTAGATGGAATGAACGTACGAGGATATCGGTCGGCGCGGCGGGCGGATGGAATGTCGCGGTTCGAGAACCAAGTCGGCGTGCTGCAGTACTACCCTCTTTGAGGACTAATCGTCTAGCAAATTTGATCACGATCGAGATACGACGTCGTAGTATGAGCTTTGTTGGGTGGTCTAGCAATTTTGTAGACGAGCGATTGGTGTGGCTCGTGTTGGCGCGAACGATTAACCAGATCGGGCGAGTTGAGTGAAGCAACACTCAGGTAGCATATGCCAGGTTCGACAGCTATAGGTTGAGGCTAAGAAGACAGAGTTGCGAAAAGGAAGACTGAACATGATAACACCTGCAGAGCTCCCTGTCATGGTACTTGGGGAAATCTCCATCGTTCCGAGCTCGATGTTCCTGCTCAGCTCATCGCCACTGGAAGATGCAGTCAGAATGTCGATGCATGTTATGAAGAGGGCGGCAATAAGCTGCGCAAAGCCCTTGATGTTGTCAACAAGAAGACAGTACTTCTACTCACGAGCGAGCGCCTTCCAAGATGTCCAAACTTATCTTCTCTCGCACCAGTTTCTGGTTTGGCATGCAGATGGCGATGGTATTAGAATGTGGTCCGAACTGGATCGATGATATTCTACACAGCCCGCTGATGGCAAGCAGTAAGGAAGATGCGAATAATGTGGGAGTCTTGAGATCCTTCAGACATGATGAATCAAATGTCCGAACAAGAGGCCCGTGTATCTCTTTATCGCGCTATATGGCTGCTGTGAAGCTCCTAGCTGATGAGAAAAGGCACACAGTCTAGCGGATGAACGAGTCCTCAGGTTCGGGAGTGTGTGGAATGCATATCGTTGTGTACCTACTCAGCCAGCCAGCCAAATTGCCGGCCGACGGCGATCAGTATGTATCAAAGCTCGCTAAACAGACCTCTTCGTGCCGGTGATAAGCTCATATCCTCTCAGCTTGGTACTCGTGACGTTTCTGCCCAGGTAAATCTGCTCGGATAACTTCTGTAGCCATTTGTAGGCAGTGGCTGGTGGCATGGCACCCAATTCGACCACCTCGACACAAACATCTGAAAGGCCAGCTACCCGTGTTACCGACGTGCGCTGTAATATTGCGTGTGGTGTGGCACGATACGCAGAAGCCAGGAGACTCAACAAAGCTGTGATGAGGTGTAGTTGGGTGATGACGTGAGGCTTGAAGATCCAACCTTGGAAGCCACGTGGATGATGGATCTAGCGTGGCCGCACCCACCCAAAATGCTGACATCACGAGCGAGGATTGGACGACGAGCAACACAAGATGCCACCAGTTACACTACTGCAGCCTGCGCGAGCGAGATGAGTCCCGCGACCCCGGACCGGTCCGCGTACCTATTCAGGATGCTCTGCATTGCACTGTAGCCCGTTGTGGTAACGAAGCGCCGCGTGAAGAACAGATTTCGATAGCCCCGAGATATACCCGTGAGCCCATTACTGCCTTGATCCCTCTAAACTTTGCATTATTGCTGCCACATCTATAGATCCGCCGACCCTCTACTGCAGTACTCTATGTGGGAAAATTCGCATCAAGCAGATGCCCTGATCGAGCGTATGCCGCGCCACGTCCTCCCCCATGCGTATCATACCTCAGCCCGTTCTGTGTTGAGCTGGTGTTGATGTGGTCATGCTCGAGTCATGACTGAAGTGTGTGGTCGATGCGCCGAAGGCGGAGGGCGCGAGCTGGTGCGCTGGCTGGAAAGAGATGGTCAACTTGGATGCCAGATCAAGGGGGGACGAGAGATCTCACTGTTGCCTCTAGCCGGACACTCTGGCTTCCTTCAGCGCGTCCGGGCGGGTTGAGTGTCGCAAGGCTGTCCGTCGGCGGCGTCTTCTTGCCGCCTGATGGCTGCCGTTCTGGCTCTCTGTATCCAGCCAGGGCCTCATACTCCTTGTCCCAGTCCGCCCCCAGGTCCCTCTGGTAGTCAGGAGTCACCAGATCTTCCGTTTCTCGTTTGTCGCGCCAATCCAGCCCTTCATGCCAGCCGTCCTGTTCGGGGTATGGGATGACGAGCCGGCCGCCCACCCGCTCGATGATTTGCTCCGGCGTGTCGGTGAGGTGCGATTCAGTCGAGAAGGAGGGATTGGGCTGGCCAGATCTCGGGGTATCGAGGCGTACATTGCAATCTGCGGTGGACGACGCGGTCCTGGAGCTGTCAGTCAGGGAGAAGGCCGACGAAGCGCATGTTTGGTACCGTGGTCTGTCTTTGGTGGTCGCCGAGCGCTTGCGACCGAAGCAGCACATATGCGCAGAGTGCAGGAGTCTGGGTATCAGGAATGTGCAGTCGTGGCGTGCATGGAGAGCGTCGGGGCTCCACAGCGGCGTGGTTGAGAGTCTGCGTGTCTGCTGTCAAAGGGCGACCCTTGACGAAACTATACGGCCAATACGGAAGGTCGCACAGCACATCGCGGGCCTCAACCCCCGGAGCCGCATTCTGGGCGGCGTCTTGCAGATGATGGCTGCACGTGATGGCGACTCCAATGCGATGCTTATTTAGCTGCTGCGACACCGCAAAAGCGATGCGCAGCTGGATTCGCGCGAGGTCGTGGATCGCGTACCGAACCAGCGCAGGCTGATGGGTGAGGGCGCCCGGAGTTAAGATGGCCCACCCGCCCGGCGATAACAACGCCGCTGTGTTCTGTCCCTCCACCAATACACCATAGTATCTCTACCACTCCACTCCCCCAGCAGCCATTGCAGACGCGCGCGGTACCATCCTCTATTGCCATCTTCGGTAGCCATCGATACGGCTGACTCCATCGTCTTGACCCCGGCAAATCAGGCCAGTGAAGATCCACCACCACGACAAAAAGACGAAGGTCCCGGCCATTCAGATGCCTTCGTTGCTCCAGTACGCTTCTTCCAATCGGTCCTGCCCAGGAGCAGGTATAAAATCAAGACCGGATCACCTCCTCGCCCACGACATCGACACCGGCTGAAGATACACAAGCCAACGCCGCGACCCACCTTAAGCGCGACTTCTTCACCTGATCAGGTTATGCCGATGGCGTACCTACCTCTGGATGGCATAGTGAAAAGGGGAAATGAGGAGGCGCTGTGCAACTCACCTTGCCAGCCCGACCTCTTCTCTCAGTCGTCGAACACACAGCAGGCCTCCTGCCGGCCTCGCACCACGCTGGTAATCGCGACAACTGCATCCGATATCACATCATGAGGATGAACCGCCACAACCACATGCAGTCTTGGTGCCAGACTCTCAAAAGCAAACCAACTCCGCTGGACCATCTCATTCACATCGGTCAATTAGGAGCACGTCTGTCCACCAACACTACAGCAGCGAGATTTCACCCAAGCCAGCCATGGTCAAGCCGAGATCTACGACGGAGAAGCGAAGATGTGGGGCCAAGTGGCCGGTACACTCCTTTCATCCCCTCTTACCATTCCACGAGCTAATGCGCAATAGAAGTGACCATGTAGATCCTGCGGTCTTCTCCTCCCCACTCAAACGCAGTCGATACCGCGCGATATTCACCGAACGCTTCCGTACACGTACTCTCTGTCCACGTATATGGCCAACAGCCCCAAATGATATAAACGATGAGGCTGCGACGAAGAAAACATTCTTATATACAACGGAACGCGGATGTGGTACGACCGGATGTGGGAGAGGGCCGTCACGGGCGGCAGCTCCTGGTGTGAAACGATCGTCGGGCATTCCACCCAATCGGACTTTCGCATGAACGTGGGCATGGACAGACGAGCACAGGAGGATCTGGAGATTGGGTTGGGTCAAGTGGCTACATTAGATCGCGTGCGGAGGAAGGCTGCTTTGTGTAGAAGGGCTAAGCTAGGAATGAACATCAGATGCGCCATGATGCTGACTAGGGCATGAGCATACGCACTACCACAATCAAATGGCTTCCGGCCGCCCCAAATTTAGCGCTCGTTCATACCATCATGCAAGTTTTCACATCCAATATCTGACATCGCCGTCACATCGTCGCAATTCCCTTGTTCTTCTCTCACAGTCAGAAGACACCATATTAGGGGAACATCAGGGCGGTCTGCGACGGAATACTACGCCATTTGGATTGGCTTCTAGACAGTTTGAACTCTCCTGTGTATCATGTACACCAATTCCGCCCGGGTGATATTTGCATAGCGTTCGCTGTCACCACCAGCGTCACCAGACATGACAGCTCCCGCGCCAAGGATCCCCAAATCTAGCGTCCCTCAGACGGCATCATCGTCATCGTCATCGTCAACTACTCCAGCCACGCCAACGAGTCTTCCCTAACACAACAGAACTGGCCTTCTTTTCCAAACACCTTACGTCTTGCCCAGTTAATGTCTACATGACGTCCGCAATCCGCATAACGGGTCAGTAGCCACCACAAGCGATGCTAGGAATAACAGCATGCAAGCCCCCATTCGAGGCATCCTTCGCATCGTCGAACCCAGCACCCCTCATACAACATCCTCACTCACTCGAAGACCACTCGCGATACCGCATGCTGTGACTCGACAAGAACATCTCCATCCACCGCGCGCTCGATGTTATCGCGCCATCAAGACCCGACGCCATGCCCTCCGGCCCCTTCGCAACGAAGCCCCGCGCGAGCGATACACACCGATGCACCTTACGACAATCGCATACTCCTCAGCCGCACCGGGCTACCGCATGAATGCACAAATGAGTCACGGCTTCAGCGCGATGTCACCCCATGAATGTCTGCTTTCGGCCGCAATGCCCTGGGATATACTCCTTCGATCGTAGCTGGCAGTGGGGCACGACGGGTAGCATGTTCGAAGTTGTCGGACTGCCTGGTGTTGCGAGCGAAGTCATATGAGGAGCGGCGCCAGACCTTTTGAATGGCACAAGGCACTTGTTGACTTGGGCATGGTGATGCGCCGATGAAGAGGGATGCATACAGCAAGAAGATGTGCTAGTAACACACCACGGGTGCGACGAGATGGAAGCTCTGGGAGTGATAAACTCCATTCGCGCAGCATCCGGACATGGTACGATCTGGCGGTGTTGGCGTAACGGGAGACAGTCATGCAACACATCGTCCTTGCTCGATTGCACCTCCCGCTGTTCAGGCTCGAGCATCAGTCCTTAGCTCGTAGGGTGCCAGCAATATTGGAGGTTCGCCCAATACCGTGAGTAAATCCTCGCCTTTTACCAGACGATTTATGCTGATTGTTCTTTTAGTACCCTCTTCCAATACTTGCACGCAGCGCAGCTCGAGCCCACGGCCGAGGACCACGAACGCGACCGACAACGCGCGATCGATACGCCGAGCATCATGATGCCGTTGCTCTGATACTGAGGCCCATCGACATTGGAGTGTGTAGGCACATGGCGGCGAGGCGCAACGTGGAGACAGGAGTTGGCACGCCGGAGAGTATCTGGTCGCGGGATACCGCCGCTGGCTGGAGGTTCCTCTTCTGATACCATGGTCTTCTGTCTCATCCTTCGGTGCAATGGCGAGTGAGTGCAGGAGTCCTTTGGTGGAAACCTCCGGTTTTCAGGATATCTCGCTCCTTTCTAAAGGCACCCAAAGACGAGTTCTCTTCACCCACTGTCACTTCATCCTTCACATATGCAATAAGAGAGGATATTGGACGCACCCATTATCTCGTGTTTTATAGGTCTCTCTCTTCTAAACGAAGAGCGTACGACATACGATATACCACTTCCAGCGGCCGAATACGATATCCCGATTGACCTTTCCCCAACCCTTTCGACACTGTCTTCGATACTAAGGATCCACTCCTCCTCCGCGACCCGAAACCCTCAACGCCAGTCCCGCAACTAGCCCGTCATATTCACTCGCACCATTGTCCCCCTCTCTGAACCGCAAGCACCCCTTCTACCATGCCACAACTACGCGATATCAGGCCTCTTCTCTCGCACTACATGCATTGTAATGCGATATCGAGACTCTTCGTGCTGAACAACCAAAGGCCCGATCAGCGTCCCCCGATGAGCTGCGGCATCGATGTCTGGTACGGCGATCTGGAGGTACTGCGGAGATCTTAAGTATACTGGATGGAGTGGTGCCGTTGGGACTGACAAAAAGGCAGTCTGGCGGTCGATGTCGTTTAGCAAGGTTTGTGAGGGCATTGAATTTGGTTGGACGCTAGTCGTGGCGGTTTGCGCTGTTCGCGCTGTATCTGGCACAGGTTGGCTGACCTCCGCAAGCTGGTGGATGTTTCTGGGAGATATCTGTTCTTCCTGAGTCTCTGGAATTTCGCGGGATCTTTGCGGGGTGGAAATGGGACGCTTCTCGCATTGGATTTTGCTTGGCCAATGGTCGCGACGGGCGCCTCTCGGGTTAACTACCTCTTCTTGCGACAACATCCCCGCCTCTCCCGCGAGTCGCATCCCATCGACGTCCTGCTCGGTAACATCGATGGCGCCCATATCAACATCCTCATAGATCACGGCCTGTGAGCTTCCATCATTTACAACGTCCGGATCGAAGAAGCTGACGACGGAGTCTTCATGGTAGTGTCGAGTGTTCACTCCACTCGACTTTGGAGTATGATACGTCTCGTCCTCGCTGTCCTCAAACCCCGCACGAATGCCCCCGGGAATATTCACGATTGGATCTTCGCCCATTACGAGATCTTCATCGACCTCCACATCCGCCTGCACGTCATCGCCTCCCGTATCGGTCTCCTTCCGTGACGGCGAACCGCGCTGATCGCTTATCTTAGCATGCTCTCCAAGTTCATCAACAAATCTGGTACCCCAGCTTGGCCGCTCGTCTTCGGAAACAGACTCGACAGCGCGTGGTCTCTGCCCATGATGCATTCTCCTGCGCTTCGCAGGTCGCCCATCCTCGCTGATAGAGAACGGATCGACAATGATCATGGAAGATACTGCACTCCTATCAGTAGGCTTCCCTGCTACCGGATCTAAATCCCGTATCGGATCGACCGGCTGCTCAGTTTGCATCGGTACCTTGGGCGGCCGCCCGCGCTTCCGAGCTAGCGCAACTGGCGGAAGTTGCTCACCTGCCGAGACGAGCTTCTGAGGCCGGCCTCCCTTCTTTGCGCCCGAGGATACTGGAATGGCCGCGGCTATTCCAAATTCTTCAACCCGAGCGGCATTTGGAGGGCGGCCGCGCTTCTTTGGTATCGTCGCGATTGCAATGGCTGGAGCAGCGGCTTCCTTCTCGGTGATGGCTTTCCGCGGACGACCTCGTTTTCGCGGTATCAGGGGAGTCAAATCAGCTGGTGAAGTTTCCGATTCTGGCGCAACTTTCGGCGGTCGGCCTCGCTTCTTGGGAACCGCGGGGGCTGGAATGACTGGTAAACCTCTACTTTGTTTCTCTGGGGCGCTCTCTGCCGGTTGCATCTGCGGATTCGGTGGCCTGGAGTAGCCTAACAAGATAATTGACGAGTCGTCTTGGGCCTTCTCCTGGGGTCGATCACGCTTCTCCGGAACTGCAGGGACTGCAGCAGGCGATTGCTCGACTGACATGACTTTGGGCGGACGCCCACGTCGCTTGGGTAGATGAGAGCTGGGCGAAGCTATGGGCGCATCCTCCATGATCTTTCGTGGTCGCCCGCGCTGCCTTCGCGCCGGGACGGCGGTGACATCAATATCGGCAGTGTGCCGTTGAAGCCCAGCGTTCTTCTTTGGGGGCATCGTAAGTGTTCTCGAAAGAGTTGTGACAGTAGAGATTGCACAATGCGACCGTGGTGGGAGCGAAGGGTGGGGTTCAGGTTGCACAAGCTCGACTGATCGTGCCAAGACTTTTACGCGACTTGCGCGCGCCAGTTACTGACGAAGGAAGCGACCACGGCCCACATTGTTCCAGCACACTGCTGCCTGGAAATTCACTGGCATACCTGTTAATGCCGACTGCGAAATTCTCATCACCACCATGGGCATGGTGCAGCGCACATGACTGAACCCAGGAAAGTTGGACAAACCTTTAACATCCCGAGGTCGTCAATATCTGACGGATCAATTACGACCAGAACTCACATGGCATACGATTACGATCAAGGAAAGCTATTGCAGTAGGCAATTTGATTTGACGCTATACTAATTAAAAATGCTGAACAAAAGTAGGATACGGGGTATCACACCCTTCTGGAGATTCGGAACGACAATCGTCATATATGGCCTCAACAGCGGGCAAACTCGGTAACAGATCATAAAGAGCTACCGATGAGTAAGATAGCGTAGATCTACTACGCGGTTTATCCGTCATCGTTCTGACCCATGATCAGTTACCCGAGCATCAGAGAAACTTCAGCACTTTCCTTGACGTGACGCCCGATTCTGAATCATTGCGATCCTCCAGGACGTCCACCCCAAGCCGTGCCGAATTCCGCTTCTACAGGTGTCCATTGCGCTTCCGTCTTCCCTTTCGTCTCGGCTTGTGATTTGGAGATCGTGGTGGAAGAAGTACCATCCTGTGAACAGGTTGAATGCTCGTCTAGCCGAAGCGCTGGCAAAAGCATGGAGCGCTCGATCCTACTTCCTTCAATGCGTATCTCTTCCGGGAGATTGAGACGACGCAATACGGATGCTTCGACCATTGCGTAGACCATAATAGCCATGCAGCTACACAGTATACACATGCGTACAGTACCGCGGTCGACGTCGATGCCAAACCCCAAGGCAATACCGGCAACAACAAAACAAAAATTGCTCATGTGCGCCACAACTTCCACGCCCTTGCAGATGTCCAGCGCCAACCCTTCGATCCCCGAGTAGTCTTTATAACCCTCCGCTGGTTTGTCTAGCCCTGTCTTTTTATCGATCCAGTCATTCAGGCCTCTAGCAGTTTGTACGAGATATTCATGTAGGGATATCCTGAAGTAAGAGAGGGTTCGTGATGTGTGGTGCAAAGTATAAGATAGCATATTGACCAAAAGAAGAATGTCAATGAGTAATGCGAACTGCGTGCCCTGCTCGTGAGCGTAGTGGAGCACCTGGCTCCCTAGGGATGTATAGTTTGTTTGGTTCATCGTGCTTTCCTGGTCCTTGGTACGATCAAGTTGGTTGTGTGTATTCGAGAGATGTTGTCTTGAGTTCTGGCTGGAAGCATTGCGTTAGCTTTTGTAAGTACCGCCCTTCTCCACTATGCTTGTCGGGCTGTCATCACTGTTTACATACAAAAGAAGTTATCAAGCATAGGAAGTTTGGTGCTGGATATTTGGACTTGTTAGTGCACATTGAGCGAGTGAATCATCGGCATCGATCGAATCACATAATCCGAGGACTGGCCTCCTGTCGAGAACTTCCAAAGTACTACAACACCAGACGGCTGCAAATGAGTATGAACACCACGAAGGGTCTCATTTTGTCATACAAGCGGGAAAGGCGGCGATGAACTCGATTCTACTTCGCCTGCTCGGCGAAGCGTTCCCTCAAAGACTTCTCTTCCTTCACATCGCGCGGCACATCCTCCAGCTCGCTGCAAGATTCTCTCTCGACTTCCAACTCGTACATCTGTTGCTTCAGAAGCGCATTCTCTCTATCCTTTGCTTCGCATTCGTTGCATGCTTCTTGCGTTCCATTTCTGCTCTTTTCATCCAACAGGTTGGTCCGCCATTCCTCCATCACGTCCATGGTGGTCTGGTTTTGCTTCTCATGTTCTGCAGCTTCGTATATATGCGCCAGAACAGCTACGCGCGGCAGGTCTGGCGAGTCGAGTATTTGACCCTCGAAACTGGGGATCAGAATACGCATGAAGTTGTCGGGATGCTCACGATGAGCGTTGCTTCTGCGTGTGGGGGTACGGTCGGGTAGTGTGGAAGGTCGGGCAACTCGATGCTGGTCGCGCAGACTCTTCAGATACTCTGACACCTTGTAGTTGACCGTTCGGCCTGTCTCTGCTTCTTTCTTGTGTTTACCTAGCTGGTTGGCAGAGTCTTCCGCGCCCATGAGGTCGACGATGGTAAGGATGCCCCTAAGCGTACCGTCATTGCGATCGTGTACCCGAAGCTCGAGCCAGGAAGGGCCACGAGAAGACGTAGGTTTGTCATGATGTTTGGCGCGGCGCCGGATAGATTCATTTCGTAGCTTCTTAAGTTCTTCGGTGGAGTCGCACACCGTGGGTGTCATGTACCCGCCGCCTTTTCCTTGGTAGCGGAAGTAGAGGCCTGTGTTGGAATACAGAAACACATCGGCCCGCGAAGACTCGCTGTTGCCTACTACAAGCTTGCCTTCCTCACGTCTCAGTAGATCATGAGGCATGTTGCAGCACACCTCCACGAAAGAGACGTGGATCTGGTATTGGGGGAAAGCGAGAGCAGCAAAGCGATCGAGAAGTGAGGGATCAGCTGCGTTGGGCTCTATGGTAGTGTGGGTTTTGCCGGATTGCGTTTCGCCATAAGTGATGAGCATGATGTGCTGTCCGTGTAAAGCGGTCTGAATCATCGGTTCGAGTTCATCGAAGACGTTGGCAGTAGGGCAATGGGGGCCAAAGACACGCCAGAAGTTGTAGGCTTCGCCCGATTCGTTGATGATAGAGAAGTCGTTCCACTTCCATTCCGAGATGGGTTGCGACGGCGCTTTGTTGGCAAATCCTCGGGCGGTCAATTTGGGCCGCACGCGGCAGTAAAGCAGCACCGGATTGATGTGACGGAAGAGTGCCTGACGGGCTTTCTTCAACGACTCGTTCATCTCGCTAGTGGCGTCTTTCCTGGCTGCGCCGAGTTGGATGGGTAGTTCGCCGAGCTCGTGCCCTAGCTGTCGGTTGTACTCTTCTAGTCTCACAATATGTGCATTGCACTCTTCAACCCTGCGTTCCAACTCTTTTTTGCGTCTTTCGAGACCCTCTAGCTGATCTTGCAAATCTTTCTCAAGTACGTCGCGTCGACCGAGCTCATCTTCAATCGCGTCGCACGTGAGCTGCGTGGCCCTCCTGGCGACTCTGAACGCGTCGGCTCGGGAGAGGGCCATGTCGAAAAGCACATGGAAATGCCATAATCACGGTCAGGAACGAGAGCGCTTTAATAGCTGTTTCTTCGTTGTAAGTAGCTGGTCTTGCAGTCAATTGAGAGGGCCTTTGTTACGTGTCGTGACGCTCACAGCCGGTGTTGGTCCCTGCAGGTGTCTAGCCACTACCGGCTTAGCGTCCTCACACCGCGCAGCTACCTCCGCCGCCCCACGATCATTCCAACGTTGAAGGGCGACACTGTCACGCTTATTCCCGCCCTCTGCCTAGTGTTGAGCTATCTACACAGTTCATACTTCATATAAAATCTGCATACCACCCACTTATTGCTGCCATCGTGTCATGATTATGACCGCGCAAACAGCCGCTGAATTTCTAAAGCACTTGAAGGAAGCCACACCACCATTAGCTGTTCAAGCAATCGATCCTACCATCTCACTGAAGCCCTCTTCTCACAGGCAGATATTAGACGATCCACCAGATTGGCTACCCATAGCTCGCAGTCAATCGATAATCTGGCAGGCCTGCGCAGAGTTGCCGCGTTCAGTTGACCTGATGGAACGTCATACCGACCCAAAGACTCTTCTTCCGATACTATCGGCATCGCCATCCCATCATCGCTTGTATGCTTCGAAGTCACCGGTCCTCGATCGCGCTCTATCGGTTCAAGTACTCGCCTCACTGGATGCATCACACCAGCGACTGGTCTTGCGGGTGGAAGATGATAGCGAACGAGGGAAGACTATACCTCCACAGCTGTTGTTAAAAGACATGCTCGTCTCATGGCAATCGGATTGCACTGTGGCCTTGCGACATAAATTGCCGGCTGAAGACTCCACTCACAGGGTCTACATAACGGCAATGTCCAAGACGCAAGCGGACAACTGGTACCGTGCGTTGAAGCAACTTTCGGTTGGAGCATGGGAGTAGCACGGGTGCTCTTATCATTCAACTACCGCTTCCAGATCAACTACGAACGGTCCTTCAACGACTTCATCCCGCGATCATCTCACATGCACGACCTCGTCCTCTCTCCATCCAAGTCGCCCTACAGCTGCGCGGCCTTCATCAGTTCCTCCAGGCCTGCCGTGATTCCATGCGGGTTCTTCCAAGTGTCGACGCATCTTTCATCGTCCTTCACCTCTTGCGCTACCTCGATCACCGTCGTCAAGTACATACCGTCCTCCCCGTTGAACTCGACGTGGTTGGTGTGGAAGTCGGATCGCAAAGGGCGTTCTCCCACATTCTTCTTTTTCTCATCTTTCCAGCCCAACTCTATGACCTGTGCGATACGCGCGTACAGTGTGCAGAGGTATTTCATGTAGTTTTCCTCCTCGGGACTGACATTCTCTCGGTGGTGGAAGCCCTTGTAGGCGTACTCGAATACAGACTGCATCACAAAGCCCATGTTGTGCATTCGATCAGAAGCGTCTTTGTAGTCCCTGGTTTCGATGATTTCCGTGGTTCTGGGTTTGACCCGACCGTGCGGAAGCTTCAAGTTCGCGATCTCGACATTCTGTTGTTCAAGAAGATGCTCGTATTCCGAAATCTTGGTCAACATGACGCGGACGAATCGTCCCAAATCCGGATCACGACGACTCGCTGCTGCGTGTGCCTCGTCGGCTGACGGGTCGTCGTGAAGAACTCCAGTTACAAAGTCTTGCACAGCCTTATTCATCGACTCCCACTTGACCATCGGATCGATGTGACGAATCACCTCTTTGAAGTTTTCTTCCAGCACCTGGATGCGCCCGTTGGCATCGATAAGCTCGAGCTCTTTGGCTTGGGCCTCCTTATTGCGCTCGTCGTACTCGCTCAACTTGTCGAGAGCTTGGCTCAGGCGTGTGGTGATGGCTTGGTTTTGTTGCCGGTAATAATGAAGGGTGTCGTTCGCGGGTCGTCTGGCTTCGCTTTCCAAGAATTCCTTCTGGTGGTCCTGGAAAGATTTGGAACCTGATGACGCCATATTTTTGGTGGAGGCGATGCGCGCAATGAAAGGGATGGTATCTTTGTTTCAGACTAATGTGATGGATGTGGTATAGTTGATGATCACGAAATAGAATATTGGATTAGTGCGACGTGGGTGCCTCGACCCGGGAATATATAGTCACGCTGATGAAAAGCAGGAGCTTGGTCTGTCAAACAAAGCTTCAAGTATCGTGTAGTTACGCATTACATGCTGTCACACTGAATGAAAACAGGAGGGTCGTCAGAGAGGCACGCGTGACATTAGAAAATTTGCTTCGCTGCGACGCAAATGTGAAACAGAAAGACTCGCGGCCTCGTCGATTTTGCCGGATGCAAATTTTTCCTTGCTGTGAGCGTCGTCCAAGAGCTCCACTGCTTCCATCGTGGGCGCTTTCTACACGACCTACAATAACATAAAGCATCGTTGTTTCTCTTGAACCAGGACGGCATCAATCCTGCTACCTTGCGAACGATCTCTGAACGGAATTTCACACCTCGGATTGCAGAATCCTGCCTCTTGTACGTCGACGCCTCCGTCCCGCGTCCTTGATCATCCATTCAGACTTGACTTCAGCCATGGATTATCTCCGCCTTATCGATAGCCTGTGGTGGCTCATGCACCCCAATACTCTCTTTGGCTTGTTCAGTCTTCTGGCGACTACGGTCGGTCTCTACCTTGGCATCCAAAACACCCTACTCTTCGGCCTAGTCCTCGTTCTTGGCTACTTCTTCGGCCGTAACGGCGCCTCGTTCAATTGTCCTCACTGGTACCTCCGTGGCGTGCCCATACCAGCGGACATGAAGCCCTCTGACCGTGAGACTTGGATCACCAGGTTGCGCGGTGAGCTGGCAAGATTCGGTGTCATCTTTGTACGAGAGCGTAGCGAAGGGATGTCTGGTATGTCGGAAGTCGCTCGCGCAGCGTATATCGAAGAGTTGTTCGGACGACTGCATGACGCTGCGGATGCCATGACGGACGAGGAGAAGAGGGCGTATGGTAAAAGGTTGGCAAGGCAGTTCATGTGGTTCCAAGAGGGTTCGGTAGGCTGGCTCGGCATGGGAGGCTCTTTGCCGCCGATGCCACCTGGAGTAGGAGAATATGGTAGCGGTTACGGTGGAAGACACGGTTTGACGTGGATAGGCAGAGACTGAGAGTGAGATTCGGGCAGTAGAAAAGTCAACTGGAAAAACCTCTTAGGTAGTAGTCAATTTCTGGTAGGCTCGATAGTGGCGCATGTATTCGGAAGCCGCGATGTTCGTATTGTGAAACGATGAAGTTTGATTTGAGCGATAAGCGTCAGTTCAACTGACATTGTGCCTAAATTTAATGCGCAGTGCTGGCAAGAATCGTGTTCTTCAGCGGCATCGGTCATTGGCGCGGCCTGCACCTCAAGACGGCGTTGCAATTCGCGGGTGTAGCGCCATCAAGGTCTCCCGCGGAGCTACTGGTCCATGCAGGCGGATCGCGATACCAACGGCGTTCGGGCGCGCCATTCCGGAAGACTGAGAGAGTTTATCTTCGTCGAATCCGTAATGTTCTCAAACCATTCATTGCGCAGCGAGTGAATCTGAATGCCGAGGGTCGCGGTGCCCCTAAGAGGAATGGCTTGCGCGGCGTAGAGTTTGCCGATCTGGATGAACGCGACACTCATCGAAAGTAGACAACCACCTCGCTCTCCTCTGCCACGTCAAACATGGAAGACTTCATAAGTACTTGAGTCATCGCTGATGGCGAACTCAAGCCAGCGATGCTGTCGTTAGGAAGGGGCTGGTCGGAGAACGGTGTTGAGCGTGGTATTAAGGTTGGTGAGGACAAACCTCGGGACCTCGAGATTCGCCGGGGACACGTGATATCGAGGGGCAGCCCATGCGCTATCCCCGAACCAGACAGCTTTAGCTTGCAGGTGGCGTCGAGCTCAGCTTCCTCCAAATTTGCTCTCGACACACATCCCTCAAACCACGAACGAAATACCCAATGATCGCATACGGAATCGCCCGTCGAAAAAAAGTCTATCTCGCCACCTCCCCTCCGTACGGCAGAAATGACAATTCGTTTGTGACGATCTTCGTGACCACGGTGGCAACGAATGACGCTACAATACAGACACGTGCAGCCCAGGCTCGTCTCTATGATGACAAACATGGCAATAGATGCCGAGACTCTAGAGGCCTTACTGCCCATTGTGTTCACAGCACATCTGTTCACGTGTGAAGCAGGAACCAGTCTTCGCCAACGATTGCGTTCCGCATATATCTTCTTTCCAGCAATACACGCGACATTACCCGGGCAAAAACGATTTTGAGCTGCATTTTTGCTACCTGCTATACTACATACGAGCTTCAGTGGTTTCCTCTCTCCTCTTTATGCCCTTATTGCCCGAGTAAGATCGCGCAACCTCCTACCATGCGCGCATCTTGTTAACTTTCTTCTCGCATCTTGCCTTTTTTGTTGGAAGCTACATTTACGCAATTTACGCCCTTTCAGTATCGTCGCGCTCGTTGGGTTTGACGGTTGCATTGGTTGCATTGGTTGCATTGGTCGCATTGGTTTTGTCAGGTTCGTCAGGTTCGTCGGAATACTTCTCTGGCACCCAGTAAGGTCTGTACCGGGGATGCCGATCATGCAGATTCATTGGAGCGCGTGGCTGAGACGGCGACGTGGTGCGGTTCGAGACTGGATCAGCCGAGCAGCATAACACGACTAGAACAATCACCACGATGACTGCGACTTTGGCGTAGCGCGTTCGTAAGAGGGCCCGTAGGAATCCCCGAAGACGGCCAGATGACGTATACGCCCACCAACCTCCGGCTATAGCTACGGCCGAGCCTATGGCGGCCTTGCTCCCGACATGTTCAAGTATGGATGCCAACATGCTAGACAGATATCTGCTAAGTCCTATTGGTTGGCTTCTTTTATTGACGAAAGTTGTTATTCTTCAGGGGAGTTGAAAGAAGAGGTGGAAGTATGGCCGGGAAGAATGCGACTTTCAGGCGATGAGTATGGGGTCGTGAACAAAGAGAAGTTTGCTGGCGTTTATGATGCTTGCTCGGACACACAAGTGGACGTTTCGAGGACGTCGAGAACATTCTCCACAGTACCGGAACAATGCCTCAGGGTCCTGGGGAGCAAAGATATCTTCGCTTCTCGGTGCCACGACTTGCTATTTTGAGTACTTCAATACTGCCGACGGTCTTCTCGCCCCTCCGTCTTTTCGCTCCCTCGTAGACATACCCCTCATGCCCTTATAACATCGCCCAAGAATTCTCTCCGCGCACTTTGATCGCCGACCCTCAATCACATTGGCCATCATCGCTGCCGCTGTCACTGATGATGCTAGCACTTAGCTGCGCTGGGGCGTGTTCGACGAATGCGGGAAACTGCGAATCACCCACCCGCTTCGGGAAGTCGAGGAAGCTCCCAAAGATCTCCCAGAGGAGATCATGCATCAGCGCATCAGCACCTGACTGTTTCGCTAGTTCCGGTAATCCCAGTTTTCGCAGATGACGGAAGGCCACCTCGCTCGATTTGATACCATCGACTGCTTGCTCGCCACCCTTCGTCATCGTCTTGAGCTGCGTGTGGTGTAATACCGATCCCAGATGCACAATGCTTCCAAGGCCAAGGTGCACACCGATGAACTCGTACTTTCTCCCATGATCTTGCCAACCGCGTAACTTCTCCTCGAAAATAGCCGGCGTCATACCACCAGGCACATAACCGCCACAATGGGAAAACAAGCGTCGTACCGCAGAGGGACAGAACTTCCCCCTTACTTGACCAGCGTTACCCTTCGCTACCCAGTTGGCAGGGTCCATCGTAGAGGCTATGTGGAAAAAGATGGCGTATACCACATATTGGACGCTGGTCAGCGCAGTAACACGCTCTGTAGCGAGCATATTGCCCACATGCGCGGCGTAGACGTCCATAAAGGTAGTACCTTTGTTTCGCTTACCCAGAGCGCCGGTGTCTCGCAGGACGCCTAGACCCATGTTCACGACGGTCACTTGCTCGGAGTCGAGTGCGATGTCTTCGCGCGTCAGCCTCGACCACCTTCTCCACCATTCAATTGACTTCTTGTCTCTCTTCTTCGAAGGTCGGGACGTAACGTCATCATTGCTGCCACGCTTTCGCTTTGGTCCTTGGTCGCACGTTGGAAGCACAAATGGCATCAAGGCTGTCACGATCTGCACCGTGTGCGGGTCCCACTCGTCGTTCGAGTTGAGATGTTTAAGATTGAGTACGTCCTATGTGGATCAGCGGGTATCAATCACTGCAAGAGATGCGAACTTACATCCACAGCGAACATTTCGAAGAATTGTTCAACTCTGATTTTAACACCACTTGGGGTATTGTCGAGTAGAAATGACGTGGCGTGGTCGTCCACACCCGAGCTAACAGACGGCATTCTTCGGCAAATAGCCATGCTCAAGTCGTCGACCGTGGAGCTGAGATTTAGCTCCATGAGGTCATTCGGGTATACTTGTTGATCGATAGATAGCGTGTTTTGCACGTCGTCTCCTGATTGGCAATGTTCGAATGGTGGTATGATTGGGCCACCACAGCCGACTATGCTTGTATCCGCGTTCGTGGAGTATCCAGTTCTGTCAAGATCGGAAAGGAAGGACTGGTCGCCCGTGGACGATGATCCGCCAGAAGCCAGTTCCACTAGTTGCGAGAAGGTGTCCAGAACCCCATGTTCATTCATAAAGCTGTGAATTTCGGCCGTATCCTTTGGAGTGATGATGTCAAAGGGTGGACCCATAGTCGGGTCCGCTTCCAAGTCGTTCGAGGTATGCGGGTTGCAGCCTATCGAATTCTTTCCCACTCCTTCCATTATCCCATGGGGGCATTCAGTCATCGTGGATGTCGTGTGTGTGTGTAGCCTATCGCAGTCGTGAAAAGCGCCGGATGATTGAGGCAGCAATACTATTCGCGGATTCAATGATTATGGAAGCAGATAGAGGATGTTGAGATACGGTGGTGAAGGCTTCACAAAG